ACCATTTTGTAAATCATGATTGCCAATGGGGATTCTGAATTTTCCGGTAGGATTTCTCCAGGCAAATCACTGAAGCGGACTGATGACATTCCTGGTAAAAAAGATAAAGTTTTTTCTTCTCTTTCTGCAGCACCTGCTTGCAAGTGTTGGACATAATGGAATGAAATAAAAGAACGTGATTGAAAAACCTTTCAAAGTATGTGAATTTTTTATTTAATTAGTAGTCAACACTAACTAGTATTAAGATTTGACTTCAGGTCATCTTCTTTAAGAGGGTTTATCTCTTGATATGCTCTTATGGTGAATTGTTTGAGCATACAAATCTTGTAAAACTTTTGCTCATTTGAACTTAATATCGTTAAGAGGACTATGCCCAAATACTTTCACGTTGATTAACATTTTTATTTTTCTTCAATATAAAATTTGTCCCTTAATACTAAGAATTTTTTTTTTTTGTTAAGTCTTGTCAATTATACTTTATAAGTCATGTCCAAGATGGAAGCAAATCAGACACCAAATGTAACATTTAAAAACTTACCAATCGATCGCATCATGCTCCAAATTTGATCTGTGCACATATGTGCTGAAAGAGAGGAAGGCGAAGCAGCCCAAAATGCCACCCAGGGGACCCTCCTTTCCTCAGCCATATCACAGGCAAACCAAAGGAAGGCATCAGTCAATAAGCAGCTTATTTTCAGCCCACTTTCCGATTCTGCTTCTTTCATAGCCTTCTCAAAATTACCGGGCGTTGCATCAACGAACAACTGCATCGCCTCGAAATGACTACCGGAAAAAGCTTCGCCTTCAGGCGTCCCATCCCACACGTCGTATGCTTTTATGTTGTCGAACTCCTGACCTGAAAAAATGGCGCAATTGGATTTTTCCGTGTTGAAGAAAGAAAATATTATGTCCGACGACGAGGCTGCCGCTAACTGTCGAACAAGGGTGAGGAGAGGAGCAGCNTTAAGGTAGATAAAATTAAACTACTCCATCTCTGTGGGACGATATTCGGAACTTAAAATTTCACTTTATTACTTGTTAATGAATCGTACACTTGCAGTAGTTTTAAATCGAAAGGAAATAATTTTGTGAACAAATACAAGGATCAAATTCAAACCCCCCTTGAACTTTTGAGCAATTCTAACAATGCTTTGAAATTCTTTGTTGAACTCCCATCTAATTTAACAGCATTTTCGGCCTTCTGTTTAAGCTTATTCAAGTTCTCTCTTATTGCCTTACCTGTCTCATTTGACATTATATAATGTAAAGCTTCAATTGTTCCATTTTTGGTGATAACCCCTCCTTCAATCCTGACTCCAATTTTCCATACAAGCTCCACCATTCTGCTATTCAAACGCTGATCAGCTAAAAATGGCTTGCAAATCATGGGGACTTCACATGATATACTCTCCAAGACAGAATTCCACCCACCATGAGTCATATGTACTCCAACCGAAGGATTTTCGAGAACTTTCAGCTGCGGAGCCCATGACACGATCATTCCAAATTTACTTGTCCGGTTGAGAAACCCTTCTGGTAGAAGTTTCTTGGCATTGTCTCTCATTGACCAAAGAAATGGAAATTCACCAGTTTCGAGTACTTCTGCCAATGCAGCCAGTTCTTCAGGTTGTGCTTCTGCAACTGTGCCAAAGCTAATGTATACAACTGATGCATGCCTTTGTTTTTCGAGCCACGAGAGGCATTCCTGGTCTGAATCTCCACTGACGATAGAAGGATCTTCACTGAGGATTGAAAGTTGAATATCGAGAAAATTCTGAAACTTTGATTTCAGATCATTTTTGATTAGTG